TTTTTATAGGATTCTTTTCTTGTTGCGTGTCAGAGGAAGGGCATTCCTTAACAATGAAGCAGTGACAGAAAATGCATGAACACAAAATGTCCAAGATTTAGTCCTGGACAGTTAGCAATGGACCAGCCTCAACTGAGCAGAGCCTACAGGAGGGAGTTCAGCAGAGATGCATGATTAGCTAGAGCTAGATTATTTAGTGCATTAAATGTCAATAACAAGATCTTATATTGATGGAGACCAATGGAGAACCAATAGGCAATCAATGGAGAAATTTAAGAGTCGAAGTGATATGCTGCCAAGGTCTGGTCTGAGTTAGAAGCCTAGCTGCAGAGTTTTGTACTGTACATATTGCAACTTAGTGAGAAGAGTATTAGGAAGCCCAGAGAGCACAGAGTTGCAGAAATGAAGCTGTGATGGTATAAATGCGTGAAGCAAGCATTCAGCATTGGGCACTGATAAAAAAAGGTCTAATTTGGGCAATATTTCTAAGCTGAAAAAAGGTCTTAATCAAAAATGTTCACATCCACCATTACCATAAAGCTCTCTAGCTTTTCCAGCTGACATTTTCTGCCTACATTTCTGCCTGGTGTTTTTTTCTCTATTAACCTTCAGGGAATTTGATGTCAGCTGAAGACTGATGTCACACAGACAAGAGATGAGTGACGGTGGTGGGAGATCAGAGGGGGATGAGGCTTTAACATACAAATTGAGTATCATCCGCATAACAATGAAACTGAAGACCATGCTTGGTCTGCGTGTTTATGCCTCTTGGTTTTTTCACTAACGATTTCAGTAATTAATATCATCTAAAACAACCTTGGCTGTGTAGAAGTGATGTGGGAGAAAGGAATGAAAAGGCTTAAATGCATTAACACCACATCAAAGGGCTCCAAAGCACTTCATGACAAATTATTTTCTAGACTCTCTGAAAACCACTTTCTACAAATTCTTCAGAAGCCATATTGAACTGTAAAGTTAGATTTTTCAGCTTTTGTAAAAATGCAATTATGCCTCTTGCTTTCCTCATCAACAGGACCTTACATCTTGACTAACAACAAGAGAAAATCTGACCATCGTACACACCAAGTAACATCAAGCCCTGTATGAACTTAATTTACCTGAAGTCTTTGCTGCTACTCGCTAGAACAAATGCTTGATAGATAAAAATCTGAAAACAATGTAAATCATGACTGATGAATAAGGCAAAAATGTAACTGATGAATATGTACTACTTTATAAACAAAGAAACCAGTGAACAAAGTTGATTCAAACAAAGCATACCGATACATTTCTGACTGTACTGTATATCTAAAGAACAGTAAATACACTTATTTTAAAAATCACATGTGTTATGACTTACCAAGAGTTCAGAAGTCCCTAATTTATCTAGCTCCATAGACTGGATTCTTGAAATATGCACCCCCATTTCCCTATGTATCCCCGAGCACTCAATACACGTCAGAATGCCTAGGTTAGTGGAGAGCCATTTGGGATCTGAAAAACAGAAGTGGGGCAAGAGAAGAAAACTAGTAAGAACAATTATAGCAAAAACATACATCTTTATGGACTCAAATGCCTGGATTAATAAACCGTACAGGGAGAAAATAGATGATTCCCCAGTAAAGAAATACAGAACACAGAAAAAGGTGCAGAGCACAAAAATACAGCTTCAACTTTTCTTTTTGTTGTATTCAATGCAATTCCATGGTTTTGACAGAAGGGGGAGCAAGGATCCTAACATTAGTAATTCCCCCCACTGGGCATTTCATCCTGGATTTTTTTTTGTCTAATTTGAGCACTTTTTTTTAGTCACGCATTCAAAATGAGCCACAAGCATCCCTAAATGCAGACAGAAGAACAATAATCTACAGCCACAAGGCTGGCATAACCTTTCTTTTATGCAGTTATGAAACAATAAGTGTAGTGTGAGAAAAGTGAGTTTAGCACTCAAAAGCCACTATTGTGGCTCAGTATGGGACAGCACCTAAGAAAGTTCGTAAACATGAATTCATTTATTCTTCATTTTATTTTTTTAGACTTTCAGTAAGGTGTCCTCCTAGCATTAAGGCAACAGTATCTAGTGCATCTTCTGGTTTTATTTAAATTCTGTTTTATTATATCTATTTATAAATAGAGAATCTTGACTTAGCAACAGAGTAAATATACTAAATATGAAGCACACAGCTCCTATCCAGTGCAGCTATTCAGTCATTGCTTTGGAAGGCAGGTGAATTCTCAGGGTGATTAAAATTCTCACAGATGTTTCTGATATCATTACCTAAAATATCAGCTTCCTCAAAAGACTGAGAATCCCAGATATTATTGTCTGCTTTGTTACATTTAGAATTTGGTTTTGGATGTATAAGTATTTCAATTCACGTCTCTCCAAGTGATGTCACTGACTCTGGTCTAGAGTCAGTGACTCTTGATAGCAAAACCCCTCCTCCCAGCCCTGTGGGACACAGGGGAGTGGGGCCCAGAGTCAGAGGCAGTCTGTCTAATACTTCAAGATGTTTCCTAGCAGCTCTGCAAGAACAGTTCAGACACAAATCACCACAAAACAAAGTTTCAGGGACTCAAAGAGTCCACAGAAGTGAGGAATCTTCAATGCAGTGAAGAATCTTAAAACTAAATTTCAACTACTACTAATGCATGACTTTGAAATTTTCCTGGACACACATCTGTTAGAACTTTCATGCCATGCAACATAATACAGAAAATATACAATATATGAAAACTAGGAAAAATAAGAAAACAAAGGTAAATGTTTTCAAATCTAAATCGATATACAGTATAATAAACTGCTTATGCAGTACTCATATATATATTGCCTCAAGACATGGTGTCCACCAGTGATTTGATGCCATGAAAAACTAGGATACTGTAGGTTTTCAGTGGAAAACGTTACATTTGTTTGGTTGAATTTTGCAGGCAATAGATTCGTTCATGTCTATAGTACATCTAAGAAAAGCTGCTGAATATTGGATTAAATTACAAGCAACACACTAATCTTTGAAAAGATGAAAATAATAACAATAAATAAGACATGTGAAGAAAATATACTGCACCAGATGCTATCAGTGTTAGTGTATCTCGTTCAGCACATTCGGAAACATAATAATGCCTTACTTGAATATCTTAATAAAGCTTATGCATGTATTGTAAAGCTATTTACATGTATGGCTGGGTTGATCAAACATTTTATTAAAGAAGCATTAAAAAAATGAAAGAGGACATCTGTTTTGGCAGCAACCAGCCTACTGTCTTCAACACATGAAGGCACTGATACTCTACACATGTACTATACAAGATTCTCTTGGCAATTGAGCCACGTTTTGGGGTTTTGTCACATCTCACAAACACTAGGGGACTCATCTGGTAGGAGCAGCAACAAATCCGAATTTACATAAGATTTTCTCGATGGTTTGTCAATCGTGAAATCACACAGATTCAAATTTTGGAAAACACAAAACGAGAGAACATGAAGACCTCCCCAAATATTGCCTGGAGGACAACAGTGATAAGTCACCACAAACACCTGAGTGCTTCTCAAAGATTGCCAATTTAGCTCTAAAACCAACACAATCTTCATTTGAGTCTAATTCTAATCCTGTTCGTACAATATGAGTGTTTGATGCATCTTCTCCAGTGGCCTCTTCCTCTAATATTTTAATTTTCATCCTCTTCCATCAACAACCTGCTTTTCTGCTGACGGTGAAGCCAGGAACCATCTCTCAGGCAGTGAGGGGTATTGTCAAGGGAAGTATCTGTGCATACCAAAGTGCTGAATCTTGTTTTTTTTTTTTTACAGCAGATACAGTATCAGGGAAAATGTGCAGTGGATAGCACTATAATGAGAAAACAAGAGCACAGAAAGGAAGGCTGTTATAAGAGTAGCCAGCTGTCAACTGCTGAGACAGGTCACAACACAGACACCATGCTGATTCAGTAAACTAAAATTCCACCCATAAAAACTAATAGGGATTTATAAGAAAAACCCTTCAAACTGATGAAAATACATTGTGAGTGGGGGCGGAATAAAATCCCCCAAAAAAACGCACACATCTGCCACAAGATCAGAACACCATACAAGCTCTGTTCTGGCACATGCTGCTGTGTACTGATAATGTCAGGGACAGAAACATACTTACTGGCCCAGATGTTACTGGTTTCAGGCTGGGTCTAGATGGGCAAAAACTGAAAGGGCCCAAGGCGATCAGGGCGATTCTGTTTTGGCCCAGCTAGAAACTCCTGTGTTTTTTCTGCTGCCTCTAATGATTGCAGTGAAAGAAACACTTCACCCCATCCCCGCCCTCACGTTTTGAATTGGCGCTTTCCACTTTCGTGAAACATGGGTTTTATTATTTAATATAGTGAATCTAGTACTGGAAGACATGGTTTGTACATATGACCACACCTGGAAATCCTCTGTGTAGCAGTTTAACTGCTTTTCTTTACTAAAGTGTCTTGAAGCATATGATTGGTGGCTTATATTAACAAATTTAAGTGCTGCTCATCAATTAATATTTATTTACATGGTAACATTCATATTGAACTAAAATGTAATGATGTTTTTTTTAAGAGCATTTTAATCTGGTACTTCAGGAGCACAACAAGGCCACTATTATTCAATCATAAGAGGAGATCATTTTGGCTATAATTCCTTGTATCTGTATTCCTTCATTTTGTTCTCAAATTTAGCTTTTCATGTGTTTTTTAATTGGGGTGGCTTGGGCCTGGAGCTTATTTACTGTATGTGCACGTTCTATGGCTTGAGTTGCCTCTTGCTGTATATTGCTCTATATACAGCGGCAATAAATTCCACATTAAACATTAGCTCATTCAACAGAGATGTCAAAAGACAGATGGGTTGGCACAATATAGGATTACCCACTAAAATACTGGAATTGTGGCTTTAAAACTGGATCTTAAATAGAAATAGTTCTATTTTTTTAATCTGGGTTAGACTTTTTAATGGTGTATGCATTTTATATAAAGGTCTTGCATCATGTAGTTCTTCATCTATGTAAATTCATAAAATACATTTTTTTTTATCTTTTTCCCCCTAAAAGGTCGTCTTTAGCCCTGTTCAATTTGTGATATCCTGGAAATTGTGTATTGTGCAAATATTTGACAATTTACTTTGCTACTATTGCTACAATAACAGTGCACTGGGACTGCATTTCAAGACTGCTACATGCAGTACTTTTGTATGTTACAGAGTCGCAGAACATGCATCAGATTTTAACCTTTGCAGCACAGACAGGTGGTTTTCCTGACTTTCTTCTGAAACTGGAGCAATAAAGTTCACGTCTATTATCTACTGCTGGAATATTCAGGGGTATATTCAAGATCGCTCCAAATCTCAGATATCGTACTTTTTGTGGAACCTACAGTTAGAAGATTAGTGCACCTCTATTTCCTGCAGCATCAGGGTAAGACCACATGTATACATCTGTGTATAGTGTTGTTGTGCATTTTAAAAATAAAGAGAAAATGTTAAATGGGTAGCAAAGACTGAACCAATACCAGAAAAATTACAACACTGTTCTTTCTTGGTAGCTCTGAAGTGTGGTGGTTTTTGTCAAGAATTACCACTGGATGAACTCTATAGCCAATTTTAATAGTCTGAAAAATTAAATTTAGGTGCTTTTCCACTGCTAACACAGTTTGCCAATATTGATTTTTTGTCTGAATCCACAGTTACTATGATTCAAGCTATGCAAACAATGCTAACGTTTGAGCATGTCAGCTTGTTTTTACCTTCTAATTTAATTTTTTTTAAATCTGCTTTTACAATCTTAATTGTTTAGCTTATGGCCTATGTTGCACTCTAGTCATGACTATCAACGAGACAGGATTTTTTCCACCATTAGGCTTTTTTCTACAGGTGCTGAGAATGAGAAAATGAACATAACAAATGGTTTTATCATATCAGCTGAGAAGAGGCTGTTGTTGTTGTCGTCCCACAAATGACGATTAAACAAAGCTCATTTTCACAGCAATTTTTCTGCCCGCGATATGGATCCTTAGAAACGCAGCTAAGAACCAGTGAAGGACAAATGTCTGGAAACAGGAGTGGTCAGCAAGATCACAAGCTCAGTTTTCCTTTCTTTATACATAGTATCTGGAAAAAAGCCTGAAAGTTGGTCGATTCTTGAGATCAGCTAGGCAACCAGAATTCAACGTGACATGCAAAATAAACGCACTGAAGTTCATCCCATGCTGAAAAGAAAACCATCATGCGAATCTTAAAATAGTAGCCAGGCTCTTGAACACAGCAAACTTGCTTCCAGTCTTTTCTTATAGAAATTCAAAGCAACAGCGGTCTTAGGATCTGAGGTAAGGGAACGTCCAAACAGAATTAATAGACCTTAGTTTCTGTATGTCAATCACATAAACCTGAAGAAGAAACTGAACACGCCATATGATAAGACTTATAGCATGGCTCACAGAGGTACACATCTCAACAGAAAGGGATGGAACCTTTTTCACAGATGGAAACAAGCCGATATCACAGAAATCGTGGGGTGAGCTGGGAAAAACAAGCTTCCTTGACACCAGACCTCAAATCACAGGCCTCCCCACCTGGTGCTCCGCAGTCACAGCAGATCTCATTGCCAGGCATTCGTAGCACGTCATCAATGATGGCTTTGGTGAGATCCTCCAAACTGTTCTCCCCTGTGCTCTGCTCCCCACGAAATGCCATGTTCAAAGCCTCTTCCTTACTGTTGGTTAACACTGATATCCAGCTACAGGGAACACCAACAAAGAAAAAGGTCAGTCTGCATGATCTGGGCCTGACAGCTTCATCAACATGTTTAAATCTTGTTATTTTTTTAATATTCATTTATTTAATGAAAATAAACTTGCAAAATTGGAAAGTGGTATAAATGATTTAGAAACATATCAGTCTCCAAACCAAATTCCTCCATTTCTGTCATGGTCTGTAACTTTAGACAATGGCTGTCTTCAATTCAATTAGACATGGTGCTTCAGAGCAGATGGCTTTGAGTACTTTCTACAAAAGTACTTCTGCTCACAGAAACATTTAATTGATGTTTGTGCACATTCTATGCCCATTTTGTGTTATTAAATTATAAATATCCCTTTTATTGCACGTTAGAGCTTTCCTAAGGTTCCTAAAAGAACTATAAGGGCTCTTGGTCAGAGGCTTTACTTTAGAGCAGATGACATAATGAAGACACATTTGCTCACCTTTTTAAGAACATTATATTCAATTTCTGTCTGTTTAGAAGAATTGAACAATGCAGCATAACAAATTAGCTAAAAAAATACTCAGGCATGGTAAGATTTAAGGTTTGCTATGCACAACATACTGTAACAAAATCCCTTCTAAAGATAAGTAAATTGTCCAAGGAGAAATGGTCATATTTAAACTGCTTCCTCCATTTAAAGTGATAGCTGTTAATCAATCAGCTGTTTATTTTGCATTTTGCTCTGACTCCGTACAGTAGGTCTCTTACAACATTGAAGATGCTTCAAAACATGCTGGATCAGAAGAAGAGTCACTTACTGACGCAAACAGTTGTGAGAGTATAGAACTAGCTGACAAGCCACGTGGTAGAATCTGATACTCTAGGCTTCTCTCACGAAATGGTTGGGTGAGATCATAGCATCAATGAGCAACTGAAAAAATATCTAGATGGACCTAAATTATGTTTTTATGGTAGAGCTTTATATTTCAAAGTATAAATGTAGAAACATATAAATGTATAAACCCACATACCTAGTAGTTACAGTACATACATACATACAGTAAGTCTTACTTTGATGTTAAAAAGCTAATCCTAAATATTAAAAAAAACTTTTTTAAGCTCTACTTGTTAAAGATGCCTCAGAACACTTGTGTTCATAGTCAAATGTTGTTTCAACGTACAAAACTATCCCGAAAACTTATATCCTTCAAAATGATGATCCAAACCTCAAACACAGAGGAAGATGCATGTTTTTAAATGCTTATAAACTTTACCACTTTCTTGTGTTATTTGATGTGACCTGCAGTGAAAACCCTGACTTGCTGAGAAACTAATTTGTTTTCGGAAGTGCTGTGTCAACACGGACACCCAACAGATCAATATTTGTTCCCCGCTGTAAACAGCCAGGGAGGTGAGGTGATTACAGAAGCGCTTCTGTTGAAGACAGGAGGTGATTATGATGAAAGCACAAGCCTTCCCAAAACCCCCTACAATGCAAAACATTTCTTTGATGCCCATCCTTTTATAAGTATAATGTATACTTTCAAAGTATAACTGACAGCAGTGTAACCACCCTGTAGTTAATCTTGAAGCTAAGCAAGTCATGTCCTAGTCAATACTGGGATGGGAAACCAGGCTGCTGTGTTTGTGAACCACTAGGTGACACTCTACTCACTAGACCAGACTTCCCACATCAATGGCCCAAAATGGTGAGCAGAGGCACAGTGTTATAGTTGATGTACTTCTTCAAATACTGAATACTTAAAGCCATTAAAGTCATGGCCATTAAATATGCCACGACAAGGTTTGTAAGAGCAGGCACTGTAAGTCCTGGTTAAATTGCACATTTTTCTGCCTAGTGCAGGGAAAGTGGCACTTAACCAGATCTTAAAGCGAAATGGGGACTCCTGGTTGCTTTCTGGAACAGCCTGGATTGACAGCCAAATTGTCAGATTACAGGATAAATCAAGGTTGTGCTTTTAAGAACATAAGAACAGATACAAGTAAGAAGAGCCTATTTGATTCAACCATGATACTTTTTTTACCATTAAGCTCTGCTGACTTTTGAACAAAACCTAACCCAAAGCCTTATTACTGCTCATAAGAGTCCCTGTAGTAACATGATGCAAAAAACAGATTTCTCAATTTTGTTTTCTTATTTGATTTCTAAACAGTACCATCTGAATTACTGAATGTGTCAAAATTCAACAAATGCCAATTCGAGTGTAGCCTCACTGGACTAAAAATAAGAAAAGAATGATAAAGTGTGAACCTGTGTTAGGAAATGATAATACAGTACACAGGTCTTTTTTCAGCTTCAAAAGCTCAGTGAAAAAAATAAAATATTATACCAAAGTGCAAAAATGTTGAACTCTGTGATTATGAAAGTTGAGGATCAAAGGCCCCTTGTTTTCTAATGCTGATAAAGTGTTCAGCAACTTACTCCTACCACTACTGTCTGCAGTTTCTGTATAAACATCAGTTTCTAATTTATTTCCAAAGCAATGCCTGCCAAAGGGTGCCTGCCTGTCTTACAGACGTTTGAGGGGTTTAGAGGTTAGCTTAGGGATTGGAATCCATTTAGGGACAAAAAACACCTGTTCACATAGGGAAAACTGTCTGATGTGTATTACTTTTAAAAGGCTGGAACAAATTAGTTTATGTACACGGTACAAAAATCTTAAATCAGTGGAAATGTAACCCAAATTTTAAAAATATTTAACAGCATGATTAATAGCCAAAATTTCCATGATCTGGATCACTGTGATGTCTTTCTTGCCTCCCACTTTTCAAAACAGCATGCTGTCATTTGCGCAGGTGGCACAGATCTCTGTTCTCTGCTCAGTATTCATGACTTAGCCAGGGGGTTCACAGTTTTCTGTACCACAGTTTTTTCACAGTTCACATTTAATTGGGCTTTTTTCCCCTTCTTGTAGGGAGCAATTACTGGGAATAAAAAAAAAACAATAAGCAAAATATATGTATGCATTGCCTGTCATTACACAAGAACCAGAAATGTGATGACTGGACCTATGTACAAACAACACATTAAAAAATGGCCTGTTCATTGTTTGGCACTTTACTTATATTACTCTTCATGACACGCTACATTTGTAAAAAAACAGGATGAACTATTTGATGTTTGTTTCTTAGCTTCAGCAACAGTTTCAGACTGGATTCATTGTGCTGTCAGACACATAGAGTACTTGAAGTGTGGATGGGTCTGATTTATTTTGATGCAAATACTATTAAGAGCAGCCAAAACCACTAAAAGTTCTTTAAACACTAAAGGTTCTGTACAAGATGCGCTTGATATTGTCTGCTTGGCTTTTCTGTCAGATACAAAAAATGTTCTGGGAATATACAAAACATTAATTGTAAGCAAGATCCTTTTTTTCCTTACATTACAAATTCTTGTTCGTCCTCTGCCTGGAAGTGATATGTTCGGTTATCTGTAAAGAGAATAAAACAATTAGAAAAGTAATGACAGGGAAACATTATCTCAGCTGCCAAAGTTTCAAAAGAATCAGCATGAAAGGTTTTCTTGGCTGCGTAAGCACTCTGTAACCAAAACCCAACTCTGGGGAACATTCCATTTGTTTTTGCTTGTTTTAACTTTCTACATCTGTACATAATGCCTCTTATTCAAAGGTCAGAACAGACAGCATATATTTGCAAAAGCAATTATTCGCTCCTGACATTTTGAAAACAAAGTTGCCACTGTTGTACCAAGAGCTATTTGAATCTGCAAATCAAAGAAAGGCACTGGAGAGAATTTAGGTCTTTGTGATGTCTGCTGTTCAGCACACTACATTATGCTGCAACCAAACTTACGAGATATAAGATCAAAACATTTTTTGTCTTCTCCACTCGGCTTAACTTGACAGGTGAGTAGATTCAATTTGACAGGCTGCCTATTGGACTGAAAAGAGAAGAAAATGCAACGTTAGGGATGTTTAAATAAAGGAAACAAAATAAAAGCTTATCAAGCATACTGTATGTACACTGAACACCAAAGTTTTAATGCAACACGCACATTCTTCCAACATTACAGAAGTCTGTACTGTAAGAAAAATGCACCTCAAGAAATGAAACAATGATTTACTAACTTCTATTCTGACTATTCATAAAATATTGATGAGTTTCTATTTTGGTGTAAACCCCAAAAAATGTCTAATACATTAGATGCTGTGTTGTCTTTAAAACCTATGGCTGTGGTGTTGGTAATCAAACACACAAAAGCCAGATTTTAATCACATTTGGGAGGTCAAATTGCTAAATAATATGTTTTTAATCAAAATCACATTAATTTTTAATCTCAATACAGGTGTTTCTAAAGCACAAGACTAATATACTTGGTGCAGCACAGTAGTTTTAATACAACTGAGGGTTGAAGATTTAAACATGATCGAACTTGTTTGATCCCTTTTACTTCTGCTGCTACCAAAAATGAAAAAATCTTTCCTGATTTTTTCCCACATGAGAATGTGAGAATGTGTGACAACACCCTGCAGTGACATTGCCTCTGTCTCTCGTGAACAGGTATACCGTAGAAAGCTCTTGACACCTGCACACAGCCTGAATCCTGCTACTGAAACGTACCTGGGAGTGCGTTTACTTACAGTATTTCTCATCAACACTGCTGAAGAAACCCTACTGTGCCTAACCTACTGTACAGTATGTAACTTCAACTTCTTTCTTAAGAGCAAATACAAAACATTTTTAATAGGATCACACAATAGGCAATCACTCCACGTAATACTGTCGTGACTTTTACGTAAAAGCATTCATAATGATGCAAGACAACGAAGGAGAACCAAAATGAAAATGGAGGGAAAGTAAAAAAAAGCCACTGTAAGGTGGAGAACTTTCAGACGCATTCTTTCAATTTGCAACAGCAGCTTCTAATTAGATTCGGCGCCTAATAAGAGGGCAGCAGCAGGTCATGTGACCGACACCCTAGAGAGAACAAGTCACAAACAAGCTCTGTGATCCAAATGCAAGACCGTAATCAACCCATGTGTAAGAGAGCGTCTGTAATTACAAATGTTTATGCAAAGCCGACAGCTTTATCTGTGGTCTTGTTGCGCTATTATGACTGTACATAGAAAAAAAAAAGAGATGAATATCAGCAACAAATTAATGGTTATTCACTAAAGCACTCTATGCCAAACTGGCAGAGGTGCAGAAAAGGATTAAAGAAATTCAGACACCCTGGGGCTTGTTAAAGCTCAAAGCATTCCGATACATCTGTACCCTGATTTGAAGATTGCCTGCGCCCTCACATTTCCGCCTCTTGTTCGACACATCCTTACACCCTGCTTGGGCCTAATCGCATCATTTTTTTGCAACAGCAAGTGTCAGCTATGAGCACAAACCCCTTTATGCTGCTGTCATAATGTGTATATTCAATGCAGTGATACTGGCCTAGGTACCACCACAGAAAAAAAGACAGAAGTCAGCAATGCTCTCGCTACAATGTTTTTTTGTGATCGCTAAATCCTGTTAACATTTTTATAGTTTGCAAGAGCTAAGTAAAAGCTCACACAGTAGGTCTTAATGTTTATTTCATGCTGTTGTTGTAAACTGGATTATATCCGGCACACAAAACTAAAATTTCTTTCTTGATGTGTTCTCTTCTGTCACAGCAGCCACACAGTGAAATATTCCAAGAAGCCACATGCGCAGGATTAGTCATACATGTCAGTAAAAAAAAACTACAAACCAACAACTGTTCTGACTTCCATCTTCCTCAGATTGCACAGAATAGTGAATTAAAATGTGTGTAACGTCTCAGTTCCTTACTTTCCTCAGCTGGGAGCTGCATAACCCAGATGCCCATGGCCACTCACACAGCCTGAATCTTGCTACTGAAACGCATCTGAGCATGTGTTCACTTATGTCTAATTATCTCTTTTGAAGAAACCTGCACCTAACCTATATAACTGCAACTTCTACTTTTTTAACAGCAAACAAAACGTTTTTTATTATCACACACTAGGTAATCCACTCCCTGTACAGGTGTTGTGCCTTTTACATACAAGGAATCATAACAATGCAAGACAAAGGAGAAAATTAATTTAAAATGTAGGGAAAGTAAAAAGTAAAGTAAAAAAAGGCACATAGGCAACTGCAAATAAAGAATTTAAATGTGTGTAACTCCTCAGTACCTTACTTTTCTGACTGTATTCAGAAGTATATTTTACTGCATGTATCTCCAAAGTCAAAGTGGAAAGTAATGAAAGAAATTAAATGCTTACTTGACACCCAATGTTATTAATGATAACATTAACTATCAGATATTAAAAATGTTTATTCTAATACAACATGCAGAATTTTTTGCTTTTCAATTAATACCCATTTAACCTCAATATCAATGTTAGAGTGAATCAGTGATGTTCACTTAGGACTAGACTGAGCCCAGTATTCAGCCTCCTTTCACTAACTCACCTAGACTTCATCAGGCAAAAATAAAGCTACACAGAAATATAGCTCTTCCATAAAACTTACTGTTGCATGTGAAATTGTCAGAATACCGTTCTTCACAGAGCATTTTCTTCTCTGCCAAACCTTTCTCAACCTGCAAGTGAAAAATAAACCCAGATTGTTAGAGGAAATGTGCCATGCTGAGTATCAGGTCAGATCTAAAATCCATCCATCGATTTTCTAAATCACCTGTAGCACCCTGAGAAAACCCATGCAAACACAGGGAAAACATATCATCTCTACATAGATAGCACCCCACAAATTGAACCCAGGGCCCCAGTGCTGAGAGGCAGCAATATGAGCCCCGGTTCTAAAATAACTTTTATAATTCAAACATTTTGCTGTTCTGCTGCAGTGTTCAAAGTTGACAGCTGTGGAGGCACTCTCCAGCCTGATAGCTGAGTGTTGTTAAATGATTTTTCAGTTACGTGACGGCATAATTCAATAAATGTATATTTAATTAAAGACAACAAATGTTATTGCACATACAGTTAAAGATGAGAATAACAATTTCCATAAAATCATAACAGAAACTTCATGATTTAACAAGCGTGTAAAAAAATCAGTCTAGCAGTAAGCTATTCTGACATTTCTGTAACTGTTGTTGTGCCATTCTGAAATATATCACACCAAGTCCCACAGCCCAGGTTGACATTTCTGAAGAAATGTCAAATGATTCGCCCACAACAAGCTTCATGAGACTGATCACACGTACTCTGAAGTCATCTATAACAGGTCACAGAATAACCCATAACACATTTCTGCATCATGTCAATAATGTTAGCCCAAAATCTATCCTCCACAGAGGACATTACATCACACTCCACACACACCTTAGGTCATCCATACCATGTTTCCACAGAAAGATCCACACCACGTCAACATGGTATATATCACTTAGAGTGATAAAGTCACACCAGGATACTTCCCTTAAAACATGTGGACAGCAGGAATGGTATCATACATATAAAGCTAACTACAGAACAAGTAAAGGTTTATTCCATGCTGAAAAGAGAAGAAAAGAAACCCAATGTTTCTTTGAGGCTGTGCAGCCTCAACAGCCGAAATGTTTCTTTTCTTCTCTTTTTAGAATGGAATAAACATTTACTTGTTCCTTAGCAGCCTACGCATGCTGACGCAGCTCCCTACTTAAAGGTAACAACTACCATCTCAGAACTGTCTCAGCTTAAATGATTTTCAACTTTGTTAAATCTAAGGAATTTACAGAAGAACATGTTAAACCTGTAATGTAAACCTGCTACTGAAAATTGATATTTTCGTCTTCCACACCAGAACACATTTCCTTCTTAATAAACAAGATATTGATGGCTTGCTTGTGCTTCTAGTAGCAGTAATTGATTGCTTTTGCATGCTGTCATCTCCTTGTGACTTTATAAGTGCTGTATTTAAAAAACAATCTTTTTGCAGAGCCATCTATTAACCTACATGTTTGTCCTTGTGAGGTGATGGCCTCACAGACACTGCCTCTCAGGGCAACGCCATGCTGTGCCAGGATCAGCAATGGAACAATACTCTGGCACTGCAAGGTGTGGCACAGCTCCTAAAAATCAAGGATACATCAGCAGTGCCGCCACTGTTCTAGCACAGTGTTAGAATACAAGATCATTTGCGAGACACTGCAGGAAACAGACCACAGCCTGCAATGTGAGGTCAGTGTTAAATGGCGCAAAGGAATACTTTGTTACTAGCCAGACAACCCACAGTCAACTGCCCAACCATGTTGCTGAAGCTCACAGGCTGATAAACCTCAAGAAGCAGCTGGATGAAACCAAATGAACAAGTTGGGCTAGCTTTCATTTGGAGGCTTACGTAAACCATGGTTGAATGTTTTCAGTTGAGATGTATCCAAGACACAAAAGCAGATGCCCAGAGCTGATACATCTCTCATTATAGATTGTGTAAGTGTAACCAGAATTAAATAGGACATCTTGCAGATCATCTTTAACTAGCCTACACCTGCAGCCTTGCACATTCTATATAAACCTATTTCTTGTTCAGACTAAATGTGTGAGTCTGACTTGCTTTCAGTTTACTTTCACTTTGTATACAACAAGTTTTTGCTCATGTTTCTGTCCTATTGAGAATGCTCTCATGTGCAGTCAAACTAGAGAATTAAACTAAATCATGAGTCAAACTAGTGAAGCTAAAGGGGTTCTGTTTGGATTCCTAATTAGTTTAGTCACCCAAAGTATTTCACAACTAAGTGGAAGTTATTTCATAACTAACAACTAAGCTTAAGTGTATTTATATCGGGGAGGTGTGGTGGCTCTGTGGCTTAGGATTTGCGCCTGTGGCTGGAAGGTTGCCGATTCATATCCCACGGCTGGCAGAGGAATCCTACTCCTTTGGGCCCCTGAGCAAGGCCCTTAACCCCAACTGCTCCAGGGGTGCCGTATAAATGGCTGACCCTGCACACTGACCTCACCTTCTCTCCCTGTCTGTGTGTCACATGGAGAGCAAGTTGGGGTATGTGAAAAGACAAATTCCTAATACAAGAAACTGTATATGGCCAATAAAGTGATCTCTCTTTTAAAAACCTCATAGACTTTGGAAATAAAATGCAAACTTTCAACCAAAATAAAATCCAAGTACAGCAAAAGTTATTTATAAGAAACCTCTACTTTAAGAGAAATGAAAGGCAAGAGACACAGTTACACTTTACATGGTGTTCTACAAGTTGGGACACTGAAATTACAAAACAGCACTTATGACATACAGTATGAATGCTCTGTTTTGGTAGTAATCAATAAGGAACTAGTGATGCCTAAGCTGCTTAATTTTCACACAACTCATTCTGTGTTGCGGATTATTTGGAAATTACAAAAAACTCAAACATACCCATCACTTTTTTTTAAAAGATATCCTTTCTTCTCACTGCCAAACTCCTTATTGCCCTGAAGTTGGTGCATACTGTATCCTCCCTGTTTGCTTTGAGAGTCCTGTGTTACAACAAACACAAAAGTCGATATTAAAAACACTTAACAATTAAAAAACAAACTTTATGTGAGCACTTATCTTCATGACATTCACAGCACTAAACACATCTCACACTTACATTACCAGTGGTTTTACAAACACTTAAGGAAACAACAACATATTCTTTAATTATTTTTTGAAGTAAATCAATGTAAAATGTTTTGCACATTTTAGCTCAAACAGAAAAAAAATGTTGGAACTGTTGTGTCCCCCTTATACAATTTGTCAAGTAAGCTGAAGAACTTTTACAATCAAACAATGGACACTTGGGTCTAGAAAGCCCAACTTTTTTTAAATTAAGATTAAGTTTAAGCAATGTCATAAGGTGGACTAAGAACCTACAGTACAAACTAAAGTCCCACAAGCTCTAAAAAGACTTACGCAATCCAAAATTTTCAAATCCTTAAAAACACAGGGACTTGGAAATGTACAGTAACAAAGTCAACATCAGCTGGAAACAAGAAATATGACATGGAAACGGTGTTTTAATCTGTTTTGACATTTGTCCAAATCCAAAGAAACCTGGTGACTAAATTCCATTATTCTGACACTGTACAGCAATAAAAGTCTGATCTATGGTTGTTGTGTATTTATTAGTATTTGGTTGTCAGTAATGCTCCAATTTACACTGGCAGCATGTGCAGCGAATCAGGTCATGACGCCCTGTGTCATGTTTATGCATCAAGTAATTTTTTTCTCATAAATTAGATACTGTATATAATGCAATGCAGATATTTATCTTTTCAATATGCCAACCCTATCACATCCTGATGGTCCCCTACCCCAAGAAAATTATAGGTAGCTTGGAAGAGTGCAGATTAGCATTAGGCCATTAGCTACTGTTTTCTTTGAGCTGTCTGTCAAAACCCTGTGGCTGAAGTGCTTGACTGGCTGATTAGACCCTGTGCCTAGTAAACAATGATCGAGTCTCATTGGATCCTGTGTGCTTTCAGTGGAAAGTTTAATTTCAAACATGGACAAGGTAAAACTTGCTACAAGTCCTTAAAAAAAAGGACATCACCATAAAATAGTCAGTCAGGAATGCCATTTCATCTACCAATATTTCTGTATGAGTATTACATTTAATAAAATAAGTTAAATAAAATTTTATTATTTAAACAGGATAATATGTTGGAACGATATTGAATATGTTTCTTGGTTCTACAGTTTTCTCAATATAAGTGCTATATTGTTGACAACAAAAACTGTACTTGTGTTACTTTGATAATAGGCAGCAGATCAGAGCTACGCTTCAGAGATGCAACCCGCTATGTAAAAAATGCCACGCGAGTGGAACACACACGTGTCAAAAGCTGTGTTGATTTGTCAAAAGTAGTGTAGACCCATAACTTACTTGCCAGTTCCCATTTGTTTTTGTGCAAGAGCCACTTGGCTTCCATTTTTGCTCTGACAGAAGAGACAGAACTATGCACTCATCACACTCAGAACATGCAAAATGCAACAACAACTTACTCTCCTGGACTTCAGTCAGGACAGGCATTAGGGAAAGAGAAGCACAGTGTGAAAGAAGCCCCAGGTTAGATTTCAAAGAGTCATGCAATAAGGAATTGCACGCATTCACATATTGCGATAACACGAGACCTCTCCCGTTCTCAGCAGTACGGTCCAAGTTCGAAACGAACCAGAATCCACTGGTCGAAACAAAGCATGAAACCCTCCAGCAGTTTTGGACCAAACTCAGAAAAGCATAACAACAAAACAAAGGTGCAGGACAGAGAAAGAAAAAATGGCTCTTAATATAAGCTGCACTTTTTCACAACAAAGACATGTGTGGTAACAACAGAGTAACATACAAGCAAGATGCAATAAATCGTTACCATTATGAACAGCAACAGGAAAAGCAATTCACAAACACAGTAGAAAGGGTTGTTGTGATTCAGTCATATTATGCGTTATTTTCCTCCACTTTGTGGTTTTCCTGCACAAATTCACAGTTTCTAGCATGTTAAGAGTTAAACCACCATACTGTATCTTCTGGATTTGCATTAATTTCATAGACAAACATTCCTATCAAATGTTTGAACTACAGAACCTGTGTTCTGTAGTTCAAATGTTTTCAATTTACAGTACATGACGGTGAATCTGGATATAATCACAAAACAGCCTAACAAATGGCCCAGAACTGATTTCCCCACATTTCCACAGTGAAAAAATATTGTTACCAGTTATTTTCCTCTCATTTCTACACCACTATGGAATTGGCAGTTATTATTTAACTTGACTCATCACTTTCCTCCAGCAAGGACCTTAAAGAACTGAACAAACTCTGGCCAGTAACCGCCTTCTCCAGTGCACAACGGAGAGGACCATTTGGACTTTAGGGGTAACTTGATTAGAGAACCATCTCCCTAGTGACTCTTCCCAAGATTGGTTAGCCCCTGATTTCACTTGTACAATGTGGACAAAGGATACCCCAGCTGACTGTATGCCACCTAACCCCATTGGTGTCTGGCCACTACCGCCACCAGAATGGATACCAGATTTTACAGCTGAAATCCAAACCTGTTGTTTTGCACCTTTACTTCTTTAGCCATGACATTCACTATATTTTTCAAACACTAAATTGCACACTGTACATAAAGAAAAAATGCAGCATGTTCACACAAACTCTTACATGTCATAAGCATTCAAGCATAAATAACATATTGTGAAATAATTAAGAGTGAGAAATAAACAATAACTCAATGTGGTGTTTGCTTCCACTTTGTAATAAAATTCTAATATGATATGAAACTTTAGTTATTTGTGCATTTGTTCCACACAAACGTTTTCTCTATGCATTTTCTTATTTTGTGCACAATTTGCTAAAAGAGTTACTGCTGTGAGGAAGCACTTAACATACAAGGGTACATTTAATCGCTGTCCTATTCCGTTATTGATTAACATTTTACAAAATGTTGTTGTCCCATTAAAAATGTAACAGGGAGGTTTTATAATGCTTTAAAGTACTTTACATCGGATTTATATAAATGACTTAATTGGAGTAGTCAATATCTACTGTAGGACATCTGAAAAGGACATACTGTACCTGTATTGACATTACAGTTTAGAAAGTTGTTTAAGAAGAATTAAAAAAAAAACTTGTAAAAGAGTTTCCAGTAAGACCATGCATGGGTTTTGAAATGTCTTCATTCAGGCTTCTTAACAATTCAGGGACAGGACTACATGCCTGAGAGCAAAATTAAGCTCTCTCCTCGGTGCAGTACTGTACCAAGCTAAGATGGTGGCCAGGTCCATTGTGAGAAAAATGCATCATCTGCTGTGACAGCAAGGTCTTCTTACAGTGAACACCATAACAGAAAAAACGCTGTCTCTCTGACATAATCCATGTTTATGTATTGTTTATCTCCAGCTTAATAGGGTGATACAAGCTTTAGGAATAAATTATTACTTTATTACTTCAACCTAACTGACACAAGAATACAGTGAAACAAAACAAAAGCAGGACATCCTATGTTGTCCTTCATGCCACTCAATAAGGCTCAGTCATTCTGTAGATAATAAGTAGATTTTGAGTATCTGAATATTCACATATTGAATAGGTACAGTAAGTAGAACATAACGACTGACATAAAACATACTATCAGTGCATCAGTGTTGCAGCCAGTCTGGAGATAAGGGTGCTAAACTGGAAGTAACCAAATTGACGAAGATATGTTGCCATTTCTAGCTTTAGTCTAATTGGCATTACACTGAGCAGTCAGTGAGGCACAACACTGGTTACCAGCAAGGCCTAGTTCACACTGGCTACCAGCATGGTACAGCACTGGCAACTCTGAAGGCAGAACTGCAAACGTTCTGCTCCACTGCACCAAACAAGTTTACCTGCAGTATTTATTATTGCTTGGCTGTCAAGCCAATTTCAGGCAGTCTACTTTGCAGTAGACTTTGCAATTAAAATAAAAATATATTATGAAATGTATTGTACTTTGCTACTTCCTCATGCATTTCCAAATGCTTTGCCATTAAGACTTTTTTCAGGGAAAGCATTCAGACGTAGAGTTATCAATGCAAGGGTCCATTCCCATTTCAAGCCATCCGTTCTTTTCCATGTTACAAACTCCAAAAGTAAATAAAAAACAGAAGGAAAATACAGCAGAGATGAGCTTTCTCATTCATAGACTGTTTTTTGCTGTGACTGCAGTGTCTTCGCGCATGTAAATTAAACATGATGGGACAGGTTTTGAGTTGGCTCAATCCCATTTCTGGGCCTACCTCCTTCTGGTCCAGCTGCAGAGAGGACTTAATCAAGTCTCGGAGAGCCGTCAGCTGCTTCTTTTCTTCATCTTGTGTTTGCTTTATCTAAATGGCAGAAACAGTTGCAGAATATCAATGATTCTCAGCCAGCACTTAGTGCATGGGACAGGTCCCCAGAGGCTATTCTAATGTCTGTGTAAAAAAAGAGTCAGTAGAAATACAGTAAATCTAAAAAACTGTTCAGCTCAAGACTCATAGGCTTTAAAATACCAACACTCTTACTCTTATAATTGAGAACAAATTTTCTTTTACAATGACAACCAGGAGAAAATCCGTTTATATAGCTGGACATTTTTCTGGAGCACTCTGAGTGATGTACAGTACCGTGCTCAAGGGTACAACAACAGTGCCCCACACCCATAATTGAACTGATTTGAACTCACAACCTTCTAGTTACAATTCCAGAGATCTAACCAGCACTGTTAATTTAATGGATCCGTTCTCTTAACAAAACTGCAAGCCCACAAGCACCATGTAAATCACAGGCATTTGCTTTAGGGCAACAAGCTAAGGACAGCCTAGCAATCACACATTTTCCCAGTCCTGGCAGTGTTCAGTCAATTGTCAGACATCACTTGAAGAATCCTCGTCACGGCCTGGTTAACAGACTAAACCCAAACTCTACTCTTGACATTATGGTTTGCCCTTTACTGCTTTTACTCATTGAGCCAGATAGGGACTGTTGTTTTCTTCTCTGACAAATTTCTTTATTTATGTCTTACCTACTTTTCCTTTTTTTAAAAAAGGCTGTAAAATATCTCCTAAAATATCTCATCTAACTCTATAAGGGCAAGAAACTTTTCTGTTTTAGAAGACATTTGGCAATATTTAAATTATTTGAGAGGTTTAACATACTTGCAGATCTTTTAAAAAAGGTTAAAGCATAATAACCTGGAAAAAATAAAAATAAGTACCACTGTTATACAGCATCACGATAAAAGCCTCTTTGTGTTCTGGCACTTACATTGTACAGATCAGCAGCAAGCTTTTCTATGTACTGTTTCAATTTGTCTGCAGTTTTCAAGCCATCTTGGAAAAAGCTGAAAAGATAAAAAATGAAAAGTCAAATCCACAATTAAATCAGTTTATGTCTACATGTCTCCTGAAGAGGGAACTTTCTTTTCAATGGCTTGGGAAAACTATGTTATGCCATATTCCAAGTGATACATCACTGACAAGCTAAGTATCATTTTATCTCAAAACAGGGCTTTTCTTGAAGTAATCCATTCCTGCTCACTTAAAACACACAATATTGTAGGGGTATGAATTCCAAAATGATTGCTTTCAGCATTTTACTTGTGCAGTCATGTGCTGAACAGCACCTTGTTCTAATACAAATTCTCACAAACCTGTCAGTCTACAGTCTTTACAATAAAATTTAGAAGAGGTTTAATAGTTTTTTAAGAGTTCAATGTCTTCTGTAATGGACCAGTTGGCTAAAAACCTTCATCAGGTTTCTCAAGCCAGTCTGTAACTTCAACCTTACAGTCTGAACGGCAGTTGTTAAATTATGAAGTGCTCAATGAGCGGAGACAGACATTACTTTCAAAAATAAGACAAGAGAAAGGAATTTCACTGTGGGTTCCATTGACCTAATTCTATAACTTCAGTAGCTTCTCAGCTGGACTGTCTGTGGCAGAACTGTGCCTTTGCTTCTCTCAATACTTTCAAGGCAATACTGAAGCCAACACTTTGGCTTCATGAAAGAAATGGCTGGATGAGGTGGGCCAAAAGTTGTCCTCTTGTCTGTAACCTTTCATATTGTACGTTCTCTCTTCCTCCAGAGCCTTTCTTCAAACACATACGTCCTCTCCCCTTATCTCCCTCTTGGGCTGTTTCAAACGCAACCCACTGGCAACAGATTCAAGCTCCACTTGAGAATCCGCCCTTTGTCTTCTTCAATGAAGAGTTATTTTCAAAAAGTCAGAGGCTACATTCCTTTTGAACTGGTGAAACTTTTTTATTCAGTAAAACTTCCTCCCTGCAGATGCTGTCCCCAGACAGAGGACAAGAACATTTTTGTAGCCTGAGAATAAAAAAGGGCCAACACACTCCCTTTATGCCTCACACAAACTGACACAAGCCTTGGGGATATTTCTCCTGTCTCACTTGTGTTTAGTGCCACAAACAATACTAGTTCCTTTTCCTAACTTCAGCAAGATGACAGGGGTTTCATGCCACAGTTCTGCCTGGTCAAAGTAGTGTTTGCCAGCAACGCAGCTGCTTTCGAAACCCTATTTTTTTAACAATGTCCTGAGCATATTAAAAATGGCAATTCTTTATACGCAAGACTGATCATCACATTATGACTCCACATAATTGCTTCATATTATTCACTGTGCAAGATAACAGTTCCTATTCCAGAAAACCAGAATAAAGTCAAAGGCAGCAGGCAATCATCTAAGGGCTATATAATCTTACAGTGAAAAGAACATAAGAGTATAGTAATATTCCCAGAAAGCACAACTGTCGCCGCATACTTATTTTTAAAGAAGTGGATTAGGTTTCCATTCAATAAACACTACTTCAATTGTAAAGTTCTAACTGGGACTTTCTGCGTCTCCCTGATGCACTGCTGAGGTGTGAATTTCAAGAGTCTGGTTCCCCATGATTCAAGGACTCCTCCATTCCACCAATCTTATCATCTAAGGGCTATATAGATGATATAGATCAAAACTGTCCATTTTGTTTAAGACCTTTCAGTATCCAGAAGTACTGTACTTGCCATGTAATGTAACTGCATGTAGCACACATGCTAATTTGTTTAAGGTTAAGGCATGACAGAAGATCCTGGAGTGATGTGTGTAATTATCGGGTACAATTATCATCAAATACTAGGACTAGTTGTTACGACTGAAAACCACAAGTTAGGAACGTATTTAAGAAATAAAGAGCAAAAGACTTAAATAATTACAAAATACCAAAAACAATATTATTGAGGAGATGCTATGAATCCCAAAGAGAAACAGTTACTATATATTTGAAATTTAACAGCCAGCTCCAAGAACAGTTGGGCAGTCTAGATGAGACGTAACCCACAACATTTATGGAACGAGAAGAGGTTAATTTCACACTGAAAGGTCAACAAAAACAGCCCTGCAGTCCTCCTCAGTTATATTCAATTTGTACGTGTTCCTTTGCATACATACCATGTCTAGCACTTCTCTCTAACCCCAAAACATCAATTTGCACTACCCGTTAGACAGATTAACTGATATTTGTAAAAAATGAAAAGCTCCCTATGTTCCTTATTAGGCAGACGTGGCCAGAGTAATGACCAACATAATTCTCAGCAGCTCAGCGTCGAGTCAATTTCAGACAATTTTCCAGTCATTTAAAGCAACTATCAAAGTTGACGAGGCCCATGTTAATTTTAAAAACATCTTGAGCCCAAGGATTAATGTTTTATTGATAAGTAAATTAAAAAGATATTCTGTTTTAACAAAGGCACCAAATTGCCGTTATTTAAAGAACAGGGCTTTCCTTATCTAAAATGAAGCAATTTTCAACCTTTTTTTTTGTTCTCTCCCATTACTACTTCACAGCAGTGTGGTAGTGAAAGCTGAAAGCTGTCATTTAAGGATAATAGGCAAAGCGATGTCTTAATGTGCTGTCTGTGCATTTATGCTTAGTCTACAAAACTGGGACTCAAGGAAAATGGATATATGCCATACAGTGTATATATAAAACAGAATTTTTAAGTGTATTTATGAGGCTGGCTTTTGAACAGAGCTAAATAAAAAAAAACATTTATTATCAAGATGTTCTCCTGTTTTCACAATATCAAAGGCATCAAATAATTAACAAAACAATTACAATACACTACAATAGAACCTGCTGTTACTTTAATCTCTATATTCTCAGAACCCTTGAGTGCCTTACACTATCAATAATTACAGAAACCATGTGTTAACTAGCTTGAACAGCTCAAGAATAAACTAAATATTTTAGGACCTGATTTTGACGATTCAATAGTCCCATCACTCCTAATGTTAATTAAAGAGTAGGTGAAAAACCGTGAAATGCTATTTAAACGTGTCAGCCCCCACCTGGATTACAGGTAAGTGTTACAGAATTTTTTACCATTTCACTATGTTCTTAAATACTGTTTACATCAACATTTTGACTGCACCTTCCTGTAAAATACAGTACAGTACATTAATTGTTTGGCTCCTAGCCTTGTCAATATGCACAGCACTCTCTCATTAAATACCAAGGTAATTTAGCCTGGTATTTTTAACAGATGGTGGACTGGAGCTTGAAAAGGTTAAAATGAACTTTTATACTTATTATAATTCAGACGTTAATTAGGACTGCACAGCCAACATAATAACTTCATTATGTTATATCTTTAAAATAACTGGGAATAAAAAGTGAATACATGAGTTAATTTAGACTGAATTAGGGCAGGTGAAGCAGTAGAGGTAATAATAATGATTATCATTCCTTGCACTTGTACAGTGCTTTTCATTACAAAGGATCCCAAAGCACTTTTAATCTACAGTGCCTAGTATAAATAAATCAGACCCTTCCCATTGTCTCCCATTGTGACTTGTGGAATTACAAAATGGGTATGCATCATTTTCTAAGCATTAAACTTTGTATGAACGTCTCCAGGCTGAAGACTTCTGGGTCACCCCGGGTCTGAAACTGAAATCAGGGCCCAGCACTGCGAGGCACCAATGCTAACCACTGTGCCACCATGCCACCCACAATACTGGCAACTCCTGCTCTTACAGTAGCAACAACCTGGCTGTTCTTAGATGTCTCCCATCCTAGTACTGACTAGACCCAACCTTGCTTAACTCCACATATTTGGCATGATCAGGCTATAAGGCTATAACACTGCTGTGAATTACAGTGAATGCTGGCTATTAGACACCACAGACATAATGAAATTAAAACTAAGATGCTTGTTCTCCACATATTAAATAATAGCACAGAGAAATAGTTAAAACTGCATCATGAATCTTTGCAAATCAACTCACAAACTATAGTGAGACATTAAATAAGCACATAGAAAAAAATGTGTTTTATGTTTGCGTTTTGGAAAGCATTAAATGCAAACAAGGCTTTCATCTATTGTAAATGTTCCCTCTCTTGCAGACTGAAATTCTTACTATAAGGCTTCTCCTCCTTCAGACTAATTAACAAGTCACACCAAAACTGCACACTGCAATCTACCATGAGTGATTTTATCACCCATGTGGTGAAGCCAGCTATCAGCAGAAATCAGGACTCAGCTGGTCAGACTTCACCTGGAAAACCTACAGCATGATTGTAAATTATCTTCACAATGCAAGGTAATTGAGTCTTAACCCTCATAATACATGTCTGATTAAAAGTAGCAGCCACACAAATTAGGAACAATTAATGCATTTTTCCTTATACTGAAATGCAATGAGAAACAATCTTTGGTTAAACGCCCATATCAAATTTGTTCCCCATTCCCTTGCAAAGTTCAAACTGAGTTATAAACGTCCCTCAAGAGTATACATCACTCAGCGCTGTTAAAGCTCACACTGCAGCGCAGAACTTCTGCCTCACCAAGCATATGACAGTGAGGGCTGCAGGTCTCTCCAGTACTCATGTGTTCCTAATTAAAACATAATTAATTGGATATGACAGCTGGAAAACGCAGGCAAGCTCCCAGGTAATTTAATGACAGCTGATTCAGAGCTATGCTGCACTGAACCTGTTGTTAGTGGCACTGCTCTCTGTAAATGACTCCCGCCCTGGCTTGCTCTTTTCTCCTTGCCTGACTGGAGCTACCAGGGCTGACTTCACACTTTTCAATGTTCTGACTTCCCCTCGTCGCTGCTTTGTAAAACAAAATCGAAGACAATCTGAAAATGCCAATTGCCTGGAAGGATGAGCAATTGGGTACCAGAGTCACTGTAAAACATAAGAACAATTTCCTCAACATCCAACCGTATTAAATAAAGTTGATTGCCAAATACTCTGTATTTTGACCACATAATAGTAAACTGTCCCTTTAAACATACTGTATTCTGCAAAATGCAATATGAAATGTGACATACGAGGACTGTAAAGTCTAAAACCTGCTATGACCTCTACTGTTTAAGCTCATTTTAGCTGCATATGGGCTTAAGGTTGCAAGGGACTCCGACTCTCTTAACAATCTCAAATTCATTTCCTCCGCTGTGCAATTTCCTCATTTTCAGCTTTCACAACTCTTTTCATAAGCTCATTTAGACAGAACAGTAAGTAACCATGGAAAATGACACTAGGGAACCACAAAAACCCAGACTAGGAAAGTCAAATATCTAAATTACACAGGGAAACACAGGCCACAATCAAAGCATTTCATTTTTTGAGGGGGGAAAGAAGAACCTAAGTAAAAGCAAAAAATCATGGACAGCACATCTCCGGAGTTGATTTCAATGGGTTGATAAGAGATTGCATATTCAAATCCTTCAGGTATACTTAAATCAACATCTACCAAATGCATGCAATAACATATAGGTAATATTGTGCAATATGGATGGCCCTACAGAAACAAAGGAACAGAAATTTTAGACGAAAATGAAGAGCTGGAAAAAATGGCATCACACAATACTAAGACGAGAAGACTTTTCTCTAAATTATCCTATTAGTTCAGCAGACCAAAGAGAATAATAGACTGCTCAAGGAAAACATGTTTACTTACTTGCATTGCGCATGGTAATACTTGATTAGGTTTTGAAGAAGATCCACTCCCTTCTTTGTCTTGATTTCATTCACTTTTATCAGATACTATTGGAGAAAGAGAAAAAGCACATCATGACTTACCTGAACATTAGGTAAACCGAGCCTTATCAAACTTTAAAATAAAGTAAAATGAACATCCAGGAGAATCTATTGTGATCAAGCTCTTGTGAGTGAATCCTTAAAATCCATTTCAGCAATGAAAACCATATTTGACTGCTGAAAAGCGTTCATACAAAGACACAATTTCGAATATACTTTATTTCCTAATATCATTCCACCAGATCTTAACTTTATGTGAATTTCAGAAATATAAAAAATCTTAAGAGAGTGGTATGGTGGTGCAGTGGTTATCATTGCTGCCTTGCTGCACTGGGGCCCTGGGTTAAATTCCAGACCTGGGCTGTTATCTGTGTGGAGTTTGTATGTTGTCACCGGGTTTGCGTGGGTTTTCGATGGGTTTTGTAACAGTGTGTCAATGGATCACTGTGTTACCAGGTGGTGAGAGCCTGCTCCATGAATCTAAACCACCCCCTTGTCAGCCAATCGACAACATCTTCTGTGGAATTCTAGTCACAGTCAGCTAGTGACGTAACCCAGGCTCGCATCCTTGACATGGATCACAGAGCTCAAACAAAGCGCCTCAGCTTGTAGAGAGTCCCTTATATGCTGGGTCACTCAAGGAACACCCTTAATGCTACAGTATGTTTTCAGCAAGGCATCCACAAGAAGACGTAACCAAATTACTTTTCAGCTTTAGTCACTGCAAAGCTGCTGTTGACATGTATATTTACACACCTGGAATCTGGGGGGAAAAAAAGAACTTCACTCAGCATGATAATGAAGGATGTGTAAGGACAACTCTTCAAACAAATCACAAACAACTTGTAAAATTAAAACCAAAATAGAAACTACCCTGAAGTCTATATCTTCATAACATCTTCAGTCATCAGATGGTGACTAAAAGCAAAAGCACAAGACCCGTTTGGGTCTTGTATTACCTTTATTATGTATTATGCACTGTATTACCTTTTCTCTGGGGTGTTTGAAGGAAAGCAAAATTCTCTTATAGATTTACACTCAGTCTTCTTTATATACTCCGATTAGACTCAGAGCCAACTCCAAAAACCATTACTACACAGAAAAATCATTCTGTGCCATTTCTCGCAGAATTACCATTGTAGAACAACACGTGAGGTGATAAAAAGACTTGTGTGGAAGAGTACACCACAGGCACATGCATACTGTTGCTTTAACAGATGGCCTATATACTCCAGATATTGAGTTTTGAGTTTTAACTGGAGAATCCACTGTCCTCATTCATAGTGTGTGTGCGAGTTTGTGTGTTTCCTACTATTCCTCCTCTAGGAAAATGCGTCTTCAAAATGGCTTGTGATCAATATTCCCACATCACCGCATCCTACAGTAAATGACTTTGGTTTTGCTGGGCAAAGCACAGTAAGAAAGGAATTTCTTTACTCATCTACTGTATTCTTTAGAGAAAAGCAGTTCTGCAGACTGTCAAGCAGTCTTGCAGCTGGTGACCTGAACATTAATCCAGTGTTGGATCAGATCCTTTTGACTGGAGGCTTTCAAAGGAAACTGACTTTGAAACCCTTCTTGCGAGCCTGGGGCTGCTCAGCAGGGGCATCAACCCCAGCAGCTCCCGCTTATACCTCAAAACAGCCCTGCCAGTGGGGCTGTTCAGAAAGAAGCATCATCCGCACTACAGTATGTCATTTGCTCATCTTTTCGTACCCACAAGCCCTCACAAACAGTTTCCCCAGTCATTTCAATTTTTATCCCATGAGACTCTACTGTGTCATCAGCCTGTATCTTACTACATTCCAGCTTCTTTAGATTTCATGTGCACTTTGTAGAATGGTGGTGCTGTGTACCAGACATTCGGAGCACTTTAAAACATAATTGTAACTACAGTAATACATAATATTATGTATTGCATAGTGGAGTCTCGACGATTGCTTTTTTGCGATGTGGTCTGGCCGACTGCGCCTTAGATGAAGGAAGAGCAGAGTGGAGTGAAACCAGGATGATGTTTACCGCATTTTTCAAATTACCAGCACAACAGGCAAAGATTGTGAGAGGGGATCTAGCTAGCAAGTGAGCCTTTCTCTCTGCCCCCTGCCCAAATCCCGAATACCCAGCATTCACATCTCAGTGAGGTCATTTTTGTGTTGTAATGAACATTCCTGGATCTCCTTCAGCAGCATGGGGAATGACAGGCTGGAGATGAGTTTACAGACTTCCTGACAGTTTTATTGTCCTTTTCATTACAGTGGGGCGTGTAGGCTGGACGCAGAGGAGTGATTAATGTTGCTTATTTGAACCGATCACTTCAGGTTTGTGTTGCCTGTTCCTTTTAGGTGATCAATGATATTTAAATTAACTTAAAGCCATTGAATTAGCACTTTAATTATCATATAAGGGAGGGTTACTTGTGTCTTTTAACCATAAAGACTCTATACTGTAGTGCATTATGGGTTGGACTTGGGAATTTGGCTATCTGGACTGTTCTATGCACCAAACCCTCACAAATGTGAAGGCCCTAACCATGTATATTTATATGTTCTAACTGAGATGAATTCCCATAATTTCACCAAGTTTTTACTGAAGTTTCTGAAAATTGATCTGCATAACGTGCGAGAAATAACACAACTTTTTCCTGCAAGCAGTCGGTGCTTAATAAATCTAACATCCAAGCACTGCTGTCTATTTTATATTAGACCTTCAGGTAATACACATGAGGCTTCCAAGCAGAATCGAATTTTGCATTGCTACAGTCAGAACGCAATTAAGATTAAAAGAAAAAAAAATCACCTGCATACCTCACACATCTGCAGCTGAAAGAGACGCCTCTCTTTCTCCATCTCCTCAGCGATCTCTGCCCCCGTGATCTCTGTCCTTATCATTCCATGCTGCTTGGCGTGCTCCCGTTTCTCCTTTTCAATTTTTGTACTAGGTTCAAACAAAGAATTTGAATGAACGCAGAAACAGTTTTTCTCTACATACAATAACAATAATAGTCAACTTTCATTTAGAATCTTACGTTTTCTGCAAAAGGGTTTATACCATATTTCTTATACCCTGCTTGATTATAGAGCAGCCTACAGCAGAATATTTTGTGCAATTTTAAAGGAAGGTGTTTACTCCCAATACCGTGACACTAGTTTTCATTCATTTATATTAAAACAAATCACATTATTGCTTATATATTTTCTGCCCAATCTTATGAGTTTTTGTTCCCTTACTACAAAGGCACTAAGGGGAAGAATGCTCATAATTTTGTTATCATAATACCGAAGTAGGGTTTGATGAAATAAGAACATTTTAAAATGTGTTACATTAAAAAAAAACATCCCCCTTTCTTCATTTTCTGCCTAGTAGTTATTGAACTGATAATCACTGATAATGAAAGAGAAAATATTCCGCCATTCTGACAATGTGGTAAAGGTCCTGAACATTTTCCAGAAACTTCTTTGCTGATCCAGGCTGTATTTTGTTTTTAATTTAACATTACAAACTTGACACAGACACAGGCTGTGTCTGTACAGTAGCTACAGAGATCAACTTTGTTTTGATGTTCTCACCCATAGTGCCATGTAATACTATGATATTGAAATCCATAGACCGTAGCACTCCATTTAGCATGAAACAGTTTACTTACAAGGCAGGTGAGAGACTTCAGAATGTACAGTATACTAAATGAAGATTTTCTTTATCATTTATTGGTACTGACAATATGGGATTTCTTTGTTTCAAGTGATCATGTGTCAGATAAAAAAGGGCTGTGCGGACACCGACATACAGTACCGCTAGTCATTATAGATTCCACCAACAGTATTTAATCTATTTTCCCACTTTGTTACTTCTTTCACTTGTCGTCTGTATTTAAAAAATAACTCAGCTCTATACACCAACTAGTACACTTATAGTGCAACCTTGACATAATGTGCCTTGTTATACTGCGGTTTCAGATATATCGCAGGTATTATCATGTCTCCTAAGACAGATATGTTTTATTTCATTTCACTGTAGAAGGCAAAGTCTGAATCGGCTACAAATGGGTACAATATGTTGCGGGGTTTCTTGAAACTCTTGTACTGAACAGCGGTACTGTCCACAGAAGCAGCTTCTACGTTTTGACAGCACCTTTTTCAGTCTAATGGAGAGATCTATTACCCATGCTAACCCTTGTAGTGTACCTGCTCAACCTCAGATGAACCCACAAAGGGTACAGCCAAAAGAGAAAATGATATTGTTGAAGAAAGACTGACGATTACAGAAGGTTAAGTGAATTTAAAAGCCATTTTATGTTATTTATGTTCCAGGGGGAACAATGGGAACAATGATGCTGACCGAAAGAAGAAGAGAGTTTGATCATATCTGACTGTTTCGGGAGGGATGCACAAAATGCAAATCACAGGAATATGTGGTTAAAAAAATAACACAATGTATGGGAAATATGCACCTTTCGTAAATGGTGTTTTTTGACACTGCCTACATTTATTAAAAAAAGAAGAACCACGTTATATTGAGGTTGCTCTGTGAAACTTCTTAACCAAGCCCTTGAGGAAATTTAAAACTGAACGGACCCCGCGTTCAGGATGGCACTGGTGCAGTAGAAACACTTCAGGCACTCCTCTATGATGATCTACTGTGGATGGACAGGTGAAAGAAGAATGGTGGCTTCAGTCATGACCCAGTGGGGTAGACAGAGATCGAATCAGATCAGATCCATTGCAGACTGAATCCAGTGCTGGTTTCCCTGAGGTCTTTAGGCCTGCTAAAGGAAACTTGCCCTTTTGAAAAAGGTCAACTAAAAAACATGGCAAATCACAGTAAGTGGGACCGTAAAGCTCCAAACAAACATATATTTAGGCCAGCACACACGGCATAGATCTAACAGGTTGAGACTGAGTCAGGGACCAATCCCATCTGTTCCCAGAACTTCTCAACAGGCAGCCTGGATGGATCTAAGAAGCGGAGTTCAGTACAAACTGTACTGGCATCACTTCACTGCACAGACTGGCAACGCCCATGTACAAATGTTTACCAGACAACGGATCAGCAATGAACCCTAAACCAAGAATACACTCAGCATTGTAAGAATATGCATAATAATACATAACATAATACAAAAATCCTATAATGATACAATGCAATTCAGAGACTACATTACAGATGACATTTTTGAAGTAAAACTGTATTTGAAATAGCATTCCATGGAAGCAAAATAAGAGTACTAGAGAAATTATGTGTCAAATGAATCAAAATGTAATCAAATGATGAAAAACGTTAAAATAAAACATATAGCCACATTCCTATTTTTTAGTAAACTGCATCATCGGTACAAGGAACAGAGCCAGAAACAAAATGCTGTTGTTTTAAAACATCTGTCTGCATGTCACCTGCTCCAAATTTTACTAATTTACTAAAACATTCACCATTACACTGAACATTGCACCTTAAAATAAACCTAATCTGCAAATAATGTTAATAATTAAACAAATACAATCTCTTTTTATTTATTACTAGAAACACACATTACTACATATTTACACAACTTACAACTTGGCTTCATAGTCTTTCCATGCCTTGTCGAATGGCTTCTTTATATCCTACAAAATACAGACAACCATATTAAGAACACAGTATAAGGTTTCCATCTTAAATACCTCTTTGAACCTGAAATTCTCACTTGAAAGAAGTTTAGCAAAATGATTTAAAAAGAATTTAAATTAATAATGCCACCCACAGCATCCATCCATCTATTTTTGAACTGGTTTTTCCAATTCACAGTCACGCCGGGCATAGACACGCATGCTCGCACTCACACTACAGCCAGTTTTCCCAGAAGCCAATTAACCTACCAGCATGGTTTTGAAATGTGGGAGGAAACTGGAGCACCCAGAGAAAACCAACTAAAACCCTGGGGTGAACATACAACTCTATACAGATACAATAACAGCCCAGGCCTGGAACTGTATCCGGGGACCAAGCACTGTGAAGCAACAGTGCTAACCACTGCATCATTGTGTTGCCCTATCAAAATGTTATTTTCACAATATTCCATGACAGAAAAGTGGTTTTCTCCTGAATGGTTCATCAAGGGCAGGGCAATGTTAATAATATGTATATGATGTTTCTACTATAACTGGGAGCACTGTTGGCATTACACAGGGCATGCTTGGCAAGCTGTACATCAGTGAACTCTGGGATATGTTGGGTGCCTCTGGTGTTGTCAAGTGAAAGCTGCTTCCCTCCCCCACAATGCTAACTCAACAGAGACGGCGAAAATGTAGAATGGTTCAGATTAAACTGTTTGAAGCACAAGAAAAGCTTGGACTAGGCTGGCCGTAGGGAGCTGAGCTGCAACAACTGATTTGTTTTTTAATTGGGAAGATTCAAAATGAAGAAAATGTTTTCTACTGATCTAGAATAAAAATTGCCCATGAAACAAAATTTTCCATTTCAGTATCATGTACTTTGTATAACACTAAGGAAAGGTATTAAAAAAAATGAATACATCAAAAAGTGTATTCCTACATCCAGATCTATGTGAACATTATGCTGAGTGCTGTGAAGTGTCTGAGTGCTGACAGATGCTATGGATCGGGGTCTTAATTCAGTGGAAAGCAAAACCTTCCCAGTTCCCCAAGAGTCCTGTGAGTCACTGCGTCTCTCATCATACAAGTCCAGCAATCGTTTGCCTTGTAAAGGTGTGTATGTCTTGGCACATATCAATCCACACAAGACAGACGTGCTCTGTGCACCCGAAAGAAAGGCAAGAGCTTAAACATGAAGTCAAAAAAGTGAAAAATCTTTATCTGTTAAAATCACAGACATTCAAAATAAACTGCAGAGCTCAGAACACACAAAGCAAAAGAAGAGTACTTGATTATTGTTCGACTTGGATTCTTGCCTTTCTCTTTGGTACAGAGAGTGGGTGTCTTCTGTGAAATTGGTTTTCTTAACAAATGCCTCTATTTTTCTCTTGAATTAACTTCTTCAAAGCATATTAATTTTAAATGGTACAGCCACTGGATAAACCCTTTTTGCTAAAGACTGCCATTCCCACTGATTCTTTTTCTTCAGAAATATACTGCTTGACCAAATTCAAGTTTAAATTCAGATTTTCACTGGCATTAGATGACACAATAGGACACCCAACACCCAATGGCAATAACAAGTTAACTTATAAAACTAGATAGATACTTTATTGATCCCGTGAGGGAAATTGCAGAAAACTAGTTCTTTATATTAGCATTTTTCTGAGTCAACAGGGTTTTGAGACAAGACCATTTCTATTTTTGAAGTAGCTATTTGTTGTATCATTACTTTATTGACACATTATACATTTTGACAAATACTTTTATGTGTCCTTCTAAAGCATACCTTTTTCTCTGTGACTGAAATTACAAAAAACATCACAAACAATGTACCATACCTCCTAAACAAGGAATTTGTTTATAAACATCCTCTGAAGCAACATGTGATATGAAACTTTGTACATTTATAAAAGAGTTGGTTAATTTATGCCAACACATGGAATACAAGGGCTCTACAAAGAACAATAAGAAATATTTTAAACCTTGTTAAAAGATATTTTTTAAACCACTTAATTTAAATTGAACTGAAAGGGAACCAAAAGGGAGATTCATTTGTCCAGATTCACACAGTGGCTGTAATTAGACACTCTCTCATAATGGTTGGGGGAAAAGGCAGCGTCCCTCAAAATGGCATTTACTGTCACATAAAATCCAACAGCCACAATGCTCGGTCTTACCCCTTTGACTCCTTTCAGATCTCCTTTCAGCAGGGAATCCAGGGTGAAGATTACATTGTGGCTCAGGCTCTGGAGCTGGAGGAGGAAAACGCAGCACGTCAGAACGATACCATAGGTATTGCTCACTTAACAGCATGCACATTTATTTCACTATATGAGAACACAAGAACTTGCGTACTGCGAACACAAACTTGCAAACAACATTCATGTAAGACATGCTGATAGATTTTGGAAACACCTTACTGTCAATGAAACAAATCTCAACAGGAGCAGAAAAAAAATGATTCCACAACCCCTCAGTATGAAGGAAGAAAATGGGGAATGTGAATTATCACAGGCTGAGACTTCGGTTTGAATTTCGATTTGAATTACTGCAGGACTGGAAGCCGAAACAAGTGCTGTACAGTTCTGTTGTATTTACATATAATCTGCAATAATTACAAATTAATTAAATAATGAATAGTGAATTAATGAAAATGGAATAACAGTCAAGATGATTACTAAAGCTGGCACTTATTTAAAGAAATCTGTCTATTTCAAATCTTTATCCTTAAGGGTCATGGTGAACTAGTGTATAATCTGCCAGGCAAAGGGCATGAGGCAGGCACCAGCCTGAACAAGATGGCGGTGTATCTCAGGGCAGGAATACATATACGGGGGCGCCAATTAATGACAACAGCTTGTCTCTGGAATGTGGGAGGAAACTAGAGCACCCAGATAAAACCCACATGAACACAAGGCGAGCATGAAAAAAAGCTGCAGTATATTCAAAGATATTGTGAGGGTGCTGTTCCCAAACAATCGTTGAGGGGCACAGTCTCCCAGAAAGAAAAATGGAGACAGGACGACCCAGAAAATAGGTAATAATGCAGTTTTAAAGTATTTTAATGTAATACCTTCGGGGACGAGTGTCAAATCATCACAGATATCATTAAACCATGAACAAAGCTGCACCTCAGATATACCAACATAAGAGGAACTGTCTGGAATATAAATGGAACTATAACTTTTTAGTGGCTGCATCCATTTCCCTTAAATCCCAACAGCGCACTGAGATGTGAATATATGATATATAAATGTACAGGAACAAGTAAAGTACAAAGAAAGAAGAATCTCTTAGTCAAACTCCAGCCCTACAGTAAAGCACACTGGTGGCAACAACATGCTTCTCATCAGGGCCTGGGAAGGTTGAAAGAAAAATGAAGAGGGCAAAGTACAATCAAGTATGGCCAGCAGCCATATTACTTTGCAACTCACAACTGGAAGCCCACTGAAGCTAAGGAGGTGTGAGCCTGGTCAGTACCTGGATGGGAGATCTCTTGGGGAAAAAGGCTGAATCTGGAAGAGGTGTTAGTGGGGCCAGCAGGGGGCGCTCGCCCTGCGGTCCATGTGGGTCCTAATGCCCCAGTATAGTGACAGGGACACTATACTGTAAACAGGTGCCGTCCTTCGGATGAGACGTAAAACCAAGGAGCTGATTCTCTTTAGTCATTAAAAATCCCAGTGCATTTCTCGAAAAGAGTAGGGGTGTAACCCTGGCGTCCTGGCCAAATTTCCCATCGGCCCTTACCAATCATGGCCTCCTTATAATCCCCATCTATGAATTGGCTACATTACTCTGCTCTCCTCCCCACTGATAGCTGTTGTGTGGTGAGCGTTCTGGTGCACTATGGCTGCCATCACATCATCCAGGTGGATGCTGCACATTGGTGGTGGTGGAGGGGAGTCCCCATTACCTGTAAAGCACTTTGAGTGGAGTGTCCAGAAAAGTGCTATATAAGTGTAAGCAATTATTATAATAATTATTATAAAATACTAGAGGAAAATATGTTTCAGTTTGCTAAAGACTTGAAACTGAGGTGACCATTAGAGTGATGCAGAGCACAAGGCCTAATGAAGGCTGGAGTGGCTTAAGAATAAGAAGGTAAGTGTCCTTGAGTGGCCCAGTTAGGCCAAGCCTCCTCCTGAAAATCCGTGGAAAGACTTGAATACCCCAATCTCTAAACAAGTTATCAGTTTGAGAATTCACGATTTGAATAAATTTAAGTTTTAAAAAGTATGTACAGCAGGCACCACTGTGTAATTTTACAAAATGGAACAAACACAGGAAGGGGCTGAATACTTTTGCAAGGCATTATATGTATCCATATATATACTTTAACAGCACTGGCCTTGTCAAAGTTCTGTCTGTGCTGAAAGAAGACGACCAAAAACTGACGCAGAATATGCTACACTGCATAAGCAGAGCTAAGCATTAACAAGTGATCATGTCCTGTTGAAACAAACTGCCTTCACTACACCAACAGTCTTCAATTTCTGAGCTGAATTTCAGATCCTGCTCCTTCAGCCTCCTTCTCCAGACTGTTTTCTTTCTTGAAAGGGGCCCTGTCTTCTATAGGAGGGCCTACTGTATAGCCCAGAGATCACCGTTAAAAAAGCTTCTACGATGTACATCAAAGCTCTGTCTCTACTACTACTTACTCGTTCCAAGTTCAAAGTCTTTTAGCCAAAGCCTCTGACAGTGCCTTGTGTGAAGGTCATCAATAGGTTCTTAACTTCATTATTTTCCATTTGGTCAGGTAAGGTTTTTTTAAATAATGTGGAATATATGAACAGAAATGTATCAAGCTTCTGAACATAAGTCAATACTGGTAAACATACAGAAATAGGTAATAGGTGTATTCCATGCTGAAAAAAAAGAGAAGAGAAAACACAACGTTTCGGCCGTGGAGCCTTCTTCAGGTTCTTCCTCAAGAGCCTTCCTCAGCCTTCTTCACACATGAAGGCGGCTGCACGGCCAAAATGTTGTGTTTTCTTTTTTCTTCTCTTTTTTTTCAGCATGGAATAAACCTATGACTTGTTCCTTTGCAGCCTACGCATGCTGACGCAGCTACCCACCTGAAACATACAGAAATGCCAACTCATATGAACTTCCAGGCTGCCTTTCATGTGCAGGTGCTACAGTATGTATTTGTACCAGCTACTTCCAGGCATACAACAGTCATATTACCTAGCCACATCTGTCCTTTACAAAGCATGGTGTTATGGGGATATATATGGCTGTCCATGTGAATGCTGTTTTCTGCACTCTCTACAAGCAAAACTGGAAATTGTTAGCACACATTATTGAATATAGTACGTTCCATTTTTGTAAGCCATTCATTTTAATTAGATAATGCTATGAACTATGGGAAAACACATCACAGGGTGCTGAACCAAAAAAATGTATTTTCCAGTCTAGGATAAGACAAAGTTCACTGTCATCGATGTACAGTAAAGCCTTTGTGCAGTAGGATTTATTATACCACAAGACCTTGGCTTTAAAGTCACTATTTTGTTTTCCTCTCCAGCAAATGAGGTGATGCAGAGAGTCAAGACCTACATATTGGAAGGCAAACAAACACATGTTGCTGAATTTTAAATTTTAGGAGGTTGCTGATTCTTCATTTACATTTCACGTGGCAACAGAAAACGAAAGCATAACAAACAAGCTTCTAGAAAGCTTTTCCAGACTTTTCATTTCAACAACAAAATTTATAGCAGGATATAGTATCGATGTTTGGGTGGATCTAAATCTGAACATGCCTGAACTTCTCAAATTATATAGTAGGTTACCAGTGGTGTATATGAGAATAAAACAATGCTTAGGTTACAATACAAGTGAGTTGCAACTAAACCCTAATTAACTTGATGGACACAGTCTGAGATGGAGTATCTGCAAACACCAATTTGATACTGGAACACAGGAAACATTTGCAATGGAAAAAATGAGTAAAACAGACTTTACCAACCTAACACTGACTGCCAAAACAAATTCAGTGTCCTCAGTGAATAAATGTTCTTCATATTTTAATCTTAAATAAGACCCTTTCTACTACATATTCCACTGAAATTCTGATCTATAAGGAACTCTATAGTGGCATAATAGTGTACGGAATTTGCTTTACACTTGATCTGCACATGTAAGGGATAATTTAATCTGCACAGTGAAAATATAATCTGTATCGAAGTTAAAACTGCATGCTGAATTTGTTCTCTGTCTCTAAGCCAGGATCTTACTGAGCTCAGCTTCTGCAATAACTTCCCGTTTGACTGAATGACTTTGCGTGCAATTCAGGAAACATTTAACCTTCTCAGTGCATTAACAGGTGCAAATCTAAACAGTTTAAGTGAGTCATGATACACTGACTTTTCCAAAGCATAACCTGAACATTATGTAAACGGCCCCCTTTAAACAAAACTAAAGAGTCTCCTCTTCATTAAATTACAAGGCCTAACTCTGTAGTCAGACACTAACGATTCTCTTTGGTTCATCTTCTATCACAATTCTTCATGAGGATTTCTGCTTGAGGTGCTCTGTTGTGTATACTGTAAGTGAGAGCTCTTCAGCATTACCAGGTGAACATAGCTTTAGAATAAACACAAGCCAATCTTAAAGACAATACAGGATATACACATCTGCATCAGGATTTCACAGCAAAAACACTTACCAGGTTTTTCAACAGAGCTGACAGCTCTTTTGTAAGAGTGGAAAATTTCACGAAAGCTGTCCCAAGATCAGGGTTATCACGGCTTATGAAATTGCTTCCAAATTTGTCCAGGGCTTGTGCATAGTTCTCTTCATTTTGAACATGTTCTGTGAAAACAAACAACAAATACAAATGGGTTTGAGGCACATAAAAGTTATAAAAATAATTATTTACCACTAACATGACCTTATCTAATTTATATACTGTACACATTCTTGTGTAAGTTGTCCACATGCCCAAAACGTCTGGAAATACTGTGTATTGGAAATACAATATTTGTTGTTTTAATAAAGCAGCTGTGCTTGAACTCCATTTTGTTTGAGTCTGCTCTTTATAAATCCCAGACAAGTAAACTACAAAGAGTCACAATTTCTCTGAATTTACAGACAGCCCACCTTGCTGTGCTATATTTGCACCACACGGTCCCAGATCTCCTTGCTTATAATTTATTTATTGAAAGTTCATGTTTTATCACGATACTTCCAGAGGGGCTTCTGCCTGTCTACAGAGGTGCTTATCTGTGTAGAAGTGAGAGCTCTTCAGCATTAACAGGTGAACATGAGTCAGGACACACAAGTGGGAACATTTAACTGATGCACTTCATCGTTCTCTTCATAACTGTTTTCTTTATTTGTACAATTAAATATCTTGAGAGCCATCTTCTTATACTTGGGACAGTCACAGAAAATGATATTTTTGCCCAGTACGTACTATCTCTGTCCCACTGAGTCCCACAGATACTAGATGCATTTCCAAATGACTGTAAAGGTGTTATTTGCATTGTTTATCAGACTATGGGACAGCATATAATTAAATCTGACAAACCAGGCTATTTCTTAAAATGACATATTATGTATCCATTTGGGAGCAATCTGGTTTTCCTGTTCTCACCTCTGTGCCGTCCTCACCAACTCTCCCATCACAAATGAATGCAGATTCACACAGGTAGAGCCCCATGGTTCAACACACAGACTTTCTGATTGTTGCTGTGACTGACTTAGATCCAGATAAAGGCAAAACTTTAATACAACTACTGAAAGTGAATTTCAAATATACTGTACCATGCAGCTTCTTTCTTGACTACTTACAAGCTACACACTGTGGTATAGGCTACTGGTTTTCAAATTTGCAGGCAGGGTAAATCAAAGATTGGATTTAATCCATAAACTCTCTATTGATTCAGACTGTAATCACAGTAACGCTTTCCAAGATCATTAATTTAAATCAAATATGTAAAAATATGTATGCATTAACACTGACACTTCATTATACTGTTGTAGACAATGTGGGAAAGCAATTAATAGCTAAACAATATGATGCTATATACAGTAGTTAAAAGCACAGATTTTAAATCAATGTAGCTAATTTTCTGGATTCCAAAAAATGTCTTTCCCTGATAGGTTAAAAGAATTGATCATTTTTTTACAGAGAAGACTATAACTACAAGGGATGTTGAGCCAGGTATTTCTCATGCTGGAAAGTACAGACAAATTCAACCAATGGGGTTGAAGAATTAACAGTGAAATAAAAAAGGATTATCTGAGTTTTGAACAAGGTATCCAGGCATTTTATCAAAGATCATATCCTGGACACTGCTGAATGAGATGCTCTAACTACCAATTAGCTAGGGACCATGTGAATTAGGTAAGCAGAAGAGCTTCCTTTATTTTGTAACCTTCTTTGTGTTCTTATGGATACCTACCATTGTTGTACAGCTTCTAATAATGACTGTAACAGCCCCCAGGAGCACAATCCTGCCTTAACACACTACAATTACTGTAAAAGGCAAATACATTCAGATTAACGGTCAGGATGGTTACGACACTCTGTGCACTGCTTTACCGTTCTGTTCAAACATAGGCCAGTGATGTAACGCCTTGGCACACTTTGCATGTGCAGTGTCAGAAAGAAAGAGTATTTCCTACTCAAACACTGCTAAATGACCACTGTAAAATTACCTTGCAATGCGTAATCCTAATGTTTTGTAATTTACAGAAAGTTCGGTTTTAAACCAGTATTATATAACCCAATTTTATGGTTGGTGGCACATGGATCCATTAAAACAATCTGCAAAGTGGATTATTTGTGCCATCAGTTTAGGGCTAAGTTTGAAATAGATGCTCATATGATGGAAAACAGCTGTACATACAGTAAATTACATCATGAATAAATAAAGATCAAAACTCAGTAAAGGGGCTGAACTAATTATACACTATAAGCAAAACGGAAATATTCTGAGTTAACACTTATTGGAAAATTCAGGGCTCAGATGTAATTCTAAAGGATGGAAGATTCTCTTCTGACAGTAAAACTGCCACATCTCTATGTGTAAGCTGGTCAGTTTCAAGATAATTGAAATAAGCAATCAGGACATCATGGAAAGTAAGAGAAAAGGGGTTAAATTGGTTTTCCTGAAGGCTTCATGACACAGTTTGTGAAGCATTCATTATATAAACACTTACAGTATGTGTCACTGAAAGCCATTTCACTAAGGGTGCAAGTTTAAAAAAATGCTAAGAAAATAAAAATAGTACTGATAGAAATAATACAATGCAAAAACAGTCAACTATAAAAAAGGCAGAGAAAGTAACACTCCAGTTCATGTGTTTATAATTACATACTCTGACACAATTCCTAGCAATCCAACATTTTCCATTTCATAAGGCCATCATATGACAAATGAAAAGTTCTGTCGAGGATTCAAAGTGTTAAGATGCAGTGCTGCTTCGTATTCTAGCCTCATATGGATTTAATTTTGTTATGTTTTATGATATGGATTCCCTTGGCAGAATGACATTATTAGGTCATCTGTCTTTTTACCTAAAAAAAAACTGACTCACAAATAAGCACTACCATTCCTTACCACAAGGAGGCTGAATGCCAACAGTGACTCCAGAGGAAAAAAGAGCTTCAAATAATTCTGAGGACACAATGAAGTGCAATGATAACTCAACGATGGACGTTGAACACATTTTACCTACACACAATTAGAACATCACCCCTTAACTTGTCTCTGTTTAGTCTACTTTTTTAGAGGCTTCGAAGACATTCTATTTATTTTTTTTATTAAAAAGGCAACCTGATACTGAAATTGAAAACAAAATGAACATTCTAACCCAATGACATCAAAAAGCTATTTTAATTGCTTTTAAACAAATGTTCTTCTGATATAAAGAATGACATCCCATGTAAATCATGAATGCTTGTTAACATCATGGCATCTTGCCTTAAATTGTAGTCTTATTGAAAATAATCACTCTCTACTTTAGAGGTCTTGAATTTCATGTGATTAAGATCTACATCCTTAAAACTAACTGATTAAAAAGTAAGGGAATCAATGCCACTAAAAACATAATCCTCTGCTTTTAGCCCTAGGGCTAAGTAATTAACATACAGCTGTGGAAGAGTAGGAGTGGAGCATACTTAAGGTGGCAGGTACAATTCTGGTTCAGTTCCTATTAGAAGCCATGCAGGCAACAGCCACACAGACCTAGACATTAACCAGTGACACTTCTCAGCAGCAGACCAACACCAAACTAACCACAATGCTGAGGAAAACCCATAATCCCCAGTGTACAACTGCCTCTCAGAGATTGAGTTCAACTTGGCGAGACTCCAAAATCACTCTGTGATCACGTCTGTATCTACACTCTGTAACAGTGTGGACAAGGGATGTTTATAACACAGGTCAGAGGTTGGCGAGGGCTTATTTGTTTTGGATTGATAAGACTCAATTCAAATATACTGTTAAAACATGCTGCTGCATGCAAGTGATATTTTACAGTGTGTGATGTAAAATATTTTTAAAAAACATTTTTGTACATCAGATTTAGCCATATGTAAACTTTTTTGGACATACTGTATGAATTTAAAGTCCCAGTCTACCAATTAGCAGTTATGACTCTGTGTACAGTCTGCCATTAACTACTTTTGCCTGACTTTGGAACCACAGGAAATGGACAGGAACCTTTTTTTAAGTGGTCTCTGTTTTGTTCTTGGCAAGCGAAAAACAGAACAGTAACAGACTGATTAAGATAAGATGATTCTTTCTTGACAGGGGACTGATGTAACCTGACCTGACAGTGCCACACAGCATCCTCCCTCTTAGGTCGGACCAGTGGAACATTCCAATGAAAGGCGCAGCATCTCCACAGTCCTTCCTCAAATCCTTGTTACCATGGTGAAAAATCAGGCCCAAACCTGCCTCCTCCTCGCTGTTCCTAACCTCAGGCTAGGAGCTGCAATCCCTAAGCTCCTAAGATTGGGGGGGATAAGGTGTTGCCATTTGTGGCAGCGGCACACTGGGCACACCTGGCAACAAACACACCCAACCAGCAATAAGGAGGAATGCCATTGCTGCAGGTCTTTACCTGTCCGAACAAATTTTATTGAAAATAACTTCACTCACTTGGAAGGCAACAACTACAGCTTGTGAAAAATAGAGGAAGAGAACTTCCCTTTCAGTTGCAAAGTCCTAGCTAATCCAACATAGATATATTTTTTAGTAAAATAGGCTTTTTTACTGCATGCTTAGGTCTCAGAGGAATTCAGACAGGGTTGTGTGCCATAAAAAGATGTTTCTGTTGATCAGACCAATGTTTCTTGTTTCACACATTTTCCACAAGCTTTACAACAAATGCCCGGAGGAGAAAAAAAGGAATCAGTGACCCATAATGAAAAATGTTTAATTTAATTTGGATCACAATTCTTAACAAGAAATGACAAATTTAAAGTCATTTAGGCCATGTCATATGCCATAGGCCATGTCTTTGGCTAGACCTGGGCAAACAAGTCCAGAGCTCATAAGCTGTTTAGTAAGCACTGAAAAAATATGCATTACAGTCTACTGTGTGTTACTTATGACTGTTTTATGGTTCCTTGCACTTAAAAGACTGTTTCATCTAGAGAGACTTACATGCAAATATGTGCTAAAACAGGGAAGCATATAAGTGTTTATTTTTTTGTTTCTTTTAGGTGGACTCAATGCCTAACATTTTTCAGTTGGATCCATTTAAGATTAGTGATCAATATTTCAAAATGACCAGGAACTAAATGTTTTCCCTTGGCAAGGTGAGGATCATATTTAAAGCCATAGATATAATCAAAAGTGTGGAATTTTTAAATTGTGTGTACTGTACATAAACACCAGGTACCATTTGGGTGGACAATTTAGCTCAATAGGTGGTGCAATGAAGTTTTATAATCCATGTTTATGCAATACAGTATTTACATCCTAACACATCAAACAAAAACTGTATTTTTATAAGTTTTGCTTACCTACCCATAGGCCTTCAATCTAATAAAAACAAATTAAATCAGAATTTATGTTACTTTCATTCACAGAAAGTAACACACAACTTCCAAATGAAAAAAAACCCTCAGAGATTCCGAAAAGTATTTCACAAATGAAAGCAATGGGTTGGGTCAGCGTACACAGCCCTTGGTAACAGCAATTGCAAATTAGTCTACGGTTTAATCGTAGTAATTTTGATGATTTCATAAGAAAGTCATCTGTTTCTGTAGGTCATCTCTACTGGGTAATGCACCTCTCAGTAAAGAGACGGAAAGGCACAAAGTAGGAAATGGATATAAAAAGATTTCAAAAGCCATATACAGTACTGTATATCCCTCGGAGCACTGTTATGATGATTGTTAAGAAGTGGATGGTGTATGGAACAACAAAGAGCCTACTGAGATCAGGCCGATGATCCAAACTGGATGATGACCAAGTAAGAAGTACAGTAGACTGGTCAGAGAGCCTACTAAGAGGCCAATTGCAAGTTTGAAAGAGCTACAAGCTTTAATGGCCAAGATTATATGCCAACAATATCCCAAGAACTCACAGATCTGGCATACCTGTATATGGCAGGTGGGCAAAGGGGATCCTATTCCTATTACTAATAGAACTTTTTGGCCTAAATGCAAAGTATTATCCAACACAGCACATCACTCACAGAACGCCATCTCTACTGTGAAGAATGGCAGTGGTACTGTAGCATCACGCTGCTGGGATGTTTCTCCTCAGTACGGAATGGGGCACTTGTCAGGATAGAAGAGAAAATGAATGGAGAAAACTACCCAAAATTCCTTGAGGAAATCCTGCTGCCTTCTGCAAGAAAGCTGAAATTGGAATGGAATTTCACCTTTCGGCATGACAACGGCCCAAAGCAACACTGGAGTTGCTAAAGAACAAAAAGGTAAACATCC